ATAAAATTGGAAAAAAAAGAGAGAAGGCATACTAACCATTTAGAACAAGTCCTCATGAGGTGACATTAGAGCCAGACTTCAAAGAAGGACAAGTTTGCTAGGTATCAAAACAGAATCAGGGGAAGAGCACTCTAAAACACATGCACAAGTACAGACCATGGTGACAGATCCACTGTTTCAAACATTCCGTTGAGGTCTACTACCCGCCAGGCCCTGGGTTACAAAGATGACAAAACAATCTGTGCCCTGGGGGAGTGAACATCTCGTGGGTAAAACATATAAAAATATGATTATAACATATAAAAACATTATTATAGCATATAAAAACATGATTATAGCATATATAAACAAAATTGTAACACCAAGAAGTATTACAGAACAGTAACCGAGATACGTAACAGTATGAAGGGAATACAGGCCTGGTGCCCAAAAGAGTTAAGGCGCAATTAGGAAAGGTTTCCTCAAGTAGGTAAAAATCTAGGTTAAACCTTGAAGGAAGGGAAGGAACAAGGCTGGAGCACAGGGCACACCGAAGGGCAGGGACAGAAGGTCAAGGACCCTCAAGGGCAATTCGAAGGAGTCTGGAACTTAACACACAAAGAGGACTTGATAGAGGTTTTTAAACAAGAGGGTGACTTGATATTTGTCTGACTTGGCATCTTCCTTTTAGTAAGATAACTCAGGCAACAATGTAGAGGATGTGCTAGATGAAGGATGTGGCAGTGATGGGGCTCTAGGCAGGCCATCCCAAAATATGCCTCAATGGTATACTGATTATTTTGAAGCAGGATATAAACCTCGCACGTAAAAGGTGCCCTCCCTGTACCGGGAGGGAGAAAGACATCCTCATCACCAGAGGCGGGAATTCAGGGCCCAGAAGCCTATCTAAGGAAACCCTTGCCCCCTCTTTACTAACTTGACACCCAAGCCCAAACGTTGCTTAAGTTGTCTACTAATTAAGCACCCAAACCTAAGTTTCTTTGTCCTGTCAGTTCCTCTTGAACTTATTGATGGTCTAAAATGTGTAAAAGCTGCTGACTTTAGCCACTTACTAGTTCCGTTTCTATGAGACCTCCGTGCACACAAAATAAATAAAATGTTTTCTTTTTCTCCTGTTACTCTGCCTTTCGTCAATTTTATTATTAGTCCAGCCACAAGAACTCAAGAAGGGCAGAGAAGGAAATTTCACCCCCCACCCCGGACCACAGGGAGAACAATGAACTCACACAAAAATTGACAAAGGCCTAAAGAAAAGCTCCAATGACATGTGTCTATTAAATGAACAAATGATTTCATGAAGAGACTGAGGAGATCAGATATATTTACAAACATTAAGTGGAGGCAGCTATGAGATATCCAGGTGGCTACATCCGGAAGGCAGTTGGAAATACAGATCCCATTTGAGTTTCCTAACTAAGCCTATCAGTGTGCCATTAAGGTAAGAAGAGAAAGGAGTAAAGTTCAATATGACGTGCCTGTGGGTCAGCCAGGTGATGAGGGCCCACAGACAGACGACTACTATACATGTCTGGACTGAAGAGAGAGATCTGGGACTCATTAGAGTACAGGCAGCAGCTAAGGCCAAGAGTAGGAAAAAATACCTCAGGGAGACTGTAAATCAAGAAAAGAGATTACCTAGGAAATAATCAAGCTAACGTTTACCTAGTACTTACTTGGGCTCATTTAATCTTCACAACAACCTATGCAGCAGACACTATTATCTCATTTTATAGGTGTTTTAGTGACTTTTCCCAACATTACAAGGCAATTACAAAATGTTTTGTTTTTTTTTTTTAAAGCATGGCCTAAGAGAGATCAGAGCAGAACCAGGAGCAAGTAATGTTCCAAATCAAGTTAGAGGATTCAAGAGGTAACCCATGGTCAGTATCATAGAAAATTCAGACAGGGCCAAAAATTAGAGGAGGAGGAAAAAGAGGGTGAGACATGGAATATTTCACAATATGGAGACATTAATAGCTTCAATTTACTTGCACAGCTAAATTTCAGGAAGAAAGACAAAGAAATATATTGGACTGGGTTGCAAAATGAGTTAAGGAAGTGAAAAATCATGATCATAAGACCAGTCTCCCAAGAGGTCCAGCAAAAAAGGACCCAAGCACTAACATTTACCAAATGAGTAACATTTACAGCGCCGGGAGCCAGGGTCGGTGCATCACATACCTCATTTATCATTTCCATTTTAACAGATGCAAGAGATTGGGAAATACTATGAAACGTGTTCAAGGTCACAGCCAGTAAGTAGCAGTGGAAACATTTACACCCAAGGTGACATAAAGCTGACTAGCTAGTTATTTTAAAAAACACAGAACGTTGAACAGTTATTTCTTAAGAATCCAATCCAAACCATTGGTTTTGAAATGTTCAGTGTAGTAGTACTGCCTTAAGAAATTTGCCTTAAGAAAGCAAAAAAAAAAAAAAAAAAATTGGATCGAGAAACAAATGAACCATGTTGGAAAGAAGTGTCCACTTTAGCCTGCCTGCAGTGTTCCTATTAATAAAGCTTTCAAAAGAACCTATTAATCTGTAAAACAAGGAGACACTGAACCTCTACTCTAGGTGAAAAACTTTGCTATAACACTCCCAGATTCAGCTGTTTGTGGGGGAGTGGAGAGAAACAATTGTAGATACATTTAACAGTCCAAAACATAAACTTTCTCCCTCTTCCTTCCAAAGGTTTGTCATAGTGAAACCCTACTATCAAATAACTAGGTCATTAAGACAATTAGCAAAACTAAAAGAGTACAAATTCTCATTTCCATCTGTATGGTCAGTATAATCATTTATCCCATGTAATAAATTCCGAAAATAAATTTCATTAACGGTCCTGTGTTAAAAACTTTTTCTATTTCCTTCCCAAAGGAAACAGGTAATCTTCCCTATAACAGTTTCCATTCAAAAGTTTCCTCCTCTGTCGAACTCACTTACTCATTCTTTCATTGTGCTAGGTGCTGGCCCAGAATCTGAGAATTAAGATCTAAGTAAGATGGACTAGCCCAGCCTTCATGAAATGTCCATGCTAATAGAGCAAACAAAGCATATAAGTAACGAATGCAGCTAATCAAACTGATGATTAACTGGAGTTGAGGGGAAAAAAGAGCAAATTAGAGGTGTAGGAAACCTCTAAAGACCAGGAGATAAGACAGTAAAGAGAACAAAAATAAAATCAGTGTGGCTTGAGCCCAGGGAGCCAAGAGAACAGTGGCCCAAACTGAACTGGAGATAAGAATGGCAGCAGTGTTCTGATCTTTATGTGAAATCTTTGAAAGTTCTCAGCACAGTGATGCAATGAGACACATGCATTTTTAAATTACTCCTGAATGTATCAGAGCGCTTCTCAAAATCCTCTCATGCCTAAACAACACACAAACTTCATTCATCGATACCGCCTAACTTAAGCGAAGAAAAAAAGAATGTTTCAAGTTGAATCCTACTCAAGGGAAAGGCAAGTACTCTGGAAAAACAACAACAAAAAAAAGTAGTTTAAACAGACAGCAGACACAAATGTTAAATGACCAATAAACTTTATAAATATGGAGAATAGAGTTTATAGTTGTTCCTCACTTAAAAATAACGTCTAAATATATATATATATCTCATGTAAACTGCATGTCTATTAACATTTAAGAACGACAGAAACTTAATTACATCCTAATATTTCAAAATAAGAGCTTGATTAAAGGCTTTGGTACTAAGATGTCTATGTCTTGAAGTACCACCTATCACTTCATCATTTTTTTCCTAAAATCAATTAGAAGCTGACTTCCTGGGTGCATTTTCGGTTTCGCTTTTTAGGAATAAAAAATCTTCTAAGTCTTAACTTTCTTTACTACTAGCTTGAGAGATGCCACAGGATTTAGGAGACACGAAACAAACCTCCAATATTTAAAAGGTTGCCGGCCACCGGGTGCCCGAACGTAACTTTCCCGCCTGCCCCATCCCCCAAACTACCCTAGACTCGCGCAGCCTCCCCCTCCCCCGGCTCCAGGCCGCCTCCTCGGCCCCTACGCCCGGGACCAGGCCAGGCCCGCCGGGCCGGATTTGCAGCCGCCACTTCTCTCCCCTTCCTCCGCGGCAGAGGCGGACGGACGCAGGCGAGAAAGGAGGAGAAGACAGGGAAGCATGGACATTACCTGGGGCCCGAGCCCGGCAGCTGGGGCCTCAGCAAGGAGGGCAACGCCGACAAGCCGTCACAGCGCGGCTGGCGGGAAGGTCAGCCCCCGGGCGCTCTCCGGACTCCCCACGCCGGCAACGCAGCCAGCCCCACCGCAGACGAAGATAAAGCGCCCGACTTCCCGGCCCCGCCGCCCCCAGCCCCCCAGCCCGCTACGCAGCGTCATACGCGCGGCCAACGCCGGCTCGGGATTTCATTGGTGGTCCCGGAGGCCGCCAGGCTCCGCCCACCGCCCCCGGCCGCCCCGCCCCTTCCCGGAGCGGGGGTCCCAGGGTTAGAACCACCAGCTCGCCGTGGCCCCTGCGAGGGAAGCTTCGCGTTAGCACTTCTTGACACCTCCGGCAGCTTGTGTTCCATTTCTGCCCCAGCAATCCAATATGCGGCAGAAATGGGACCGACACAACTTGCCGCCGGTCCGAAAAAGGCACCCTGCATTGTCGCACAGTACTGGCGAGTCTGGTGCCTCTTCTGGAGACTTGTGGAATCCACCTTTGGACCGTGGATCATTGCAGTTTGAACCGATCCTCTAGGAAAACTAGAAGCACTAGCCAGAAGCATTTGTCATGGGATGCTTTAATGCTTTGTAAACTTCTGTGTCCTTCGGCGAATTAGATAAGGAGACCGTAAGATAAGTGAAATAACAGGGCAATTAACTGAAGGAAAACTTCACAAGCAAGGAAAAAATAATGACGCAGAGAGACTTAGGACACATTAGATACAACAGTTAGACTGTATCTGTTTAGATCGCGTAGATTTTATGAGGGCAAAGATGCAGGTAAACTTAGAGTAGAAGGCGAAAGCAATGAGCAGTAGACTAAAGGCCCCCATTCATAGCCTGCAAAGCAGTGCAAGCCAACCTGGCCTGCGTCATCACTCCAACCCTACAGCAAACAGGTTGAAATGGCCACCTGTGACCCAGAATGGATCAAGCTTACCCAACTGACTACTCTCTGTGGACCTTTGAACAAGGAGGATTTGTATGCATCCCCTGGCTGCCCAGGGTAGCCAGCACTGTTCACCCCCAAAGCAGAACCTGCCTCAGCATTCAGTCAACTCAGGAGTGGAAGTCATAGGCAGACCCAACCAGTTTGTCTCTTCTTCAATTGTGATTACTAATTCTGCCAACTAGATGACAATAAGATCTGGTAGATCCCAATGACTCTTGTCCTACACCTCTCCCCTCCCACCAGCAATCAGAACACAGGGACTCATTTCTTTGAGACTTTGTTGGCCACTATATATATACATACCAAAAACATTCTTGTTTTTTCCTTTGTTTCATTTACTCATTCAAAACATACTGTGTTTTGTTCTTGGTGCTGAGGATAAAGGAGTGAATATAACAGAAGAAGCCCGGCACTTAGATGCTTATGTTTCTTATGGAAAAGACAAATAAAAAAAAGTTAATTGCAGATGGTGATAAAGTGTTAAGAAGTAAACAAAACAGAGTGGTCAAGGAAGGACTTTTTGAGAAGATGATCTGAACTAAGACTTTAATGAGGAGAAGGAGACAGCTATGCCAATTATGGGGAAGAGGAGCATTCTAGACAGAGGACTATGGGTGTGAAAGTGCTGATGCTGAACAATTTTGGCTTGTTTGAGGAACAGAAGACCAGGATGCTTGAAGCACCTTATTTGGGGGTGGGTATGAAATTGAGGTTGGCATGTTAAGCAGAAGAATAATCATGTTGTTAAGTTTGGATTTTTTGGTTGTTAAGTTTTGTCTTTTTTTTTAAGTCAATTTATTTTGTGGAGAATGACTTGGAGGGGGCTAGAAATGGAACACAGAGAAGCCAGAGAATGATTGGAAGCTATTGGATAGGTCTATAGGATCTGTGATGGTGACCTGAGTTGGAGTGGTTGCTATAGAAATTGAAGGATCTCAGGATATTTTCCTGAGGTGCAGGTGTGAAGAAAGGTAGTAAATAAGGTGACTCCCAGGTGGTTTTTTTAAAGCAAGTGGGATGGTGGCAATCCCATTTAGTTCAAAGAGGGAGGGGAAGACCGTTTAACATGACTAGGGGGACCTTGAAAGCCTCTGCCCAAACTCCAAGCCCCTCCTACCATGCCACTCAATCCTTAGGACCAAGCCTTGATTAAATATGAATGTTGACTTCATCACATTCCAAAAACCATGTGTACAGAACTTGTGTTAGTTGCTAGGGATATAAATATGAATAAGAACAACTGTCTGTTGGGGAGATTAATAAGAACTCAATCATTTCAAGACAATAGGACAAGTGTTATAATAAAAAGAGGTAACAAAAGTGCCTACCTTATAGGGTCATTGTAAGGTTGAAATGAGGTAATGCCTGCTAAGCTCCAAGTACAAACACTGGCATACGGAAGTGCTCAATAAACATTAGCAGTCATTTTACACTTTGTTACACTGACATTGATCATTGTTGTCGATGTTGTTATCTTCTAGATGCAGTGGGAGAAGATGGAATGATGTCACAGCCCACTATTCTAGGACAAGGAAGGTTGGACTGGAGGAAGTTTAACTGATTCCAGCTTTCTGAAACAGTAGGCAGAGGAGTTTAGTAGGCAGGCAAGGCAGGAGGGACAGCCCAAGCAAGAGAAAAACAAGGTCAAAGGCCAACAAGACGAGAGGGAGTCAGAACTATCTAGGACACAGGAAGGTAGGTGAGTATAGTTGAACTGTAGGTTTCATACTGAGAAGCAGCAAGAGAGAAAGTTGGTGTCAGGGCTCAAGAAGTTTGTAGACCATGGTGAGGGAGTCTAACTCAGACTCCCATGGACAGTGGGGAGCCAGTGAAGTTAAGTAAGGAAGAGTCATGAATTAGGAGACTGTACTAAACGAAATGCAACTAGAGGTCAAGAAATCAACAAAAAGGGCATTTCAGCAATGTACGTGAGAAAGAACTGCCTAAACTAGGGCAGTAGCGAGTGGGATGGAAGGAAGGGGACATATGTGAGAAAGATTTAAAGAGATGATTGATAGAATTAGAGAGTGTTTGGATGTGATGGTTAAGGATGTATCTAGTATTTCGGGCTCAGCAGGCTGAGTGGCTGGAGTTAATGGGGACTGAGGTAAGAACATGTATCCTGGAGGAGGAAGAATAAGCTTTACTCGGGTTAATATCTAAGCTGAACTCCATCTCCAACTGAGACCTAAAGGAACCGAACAAGAAGCAGTCAAATTGTGTTTAGTTTTATAAGGACCCAGAAAGGGAAGCTGAATAGATCCCAAATCAAGTTTTAAAATACAAACATCTCAGTTCTTCAAAGGGTCATATGTCCCTTAGTAATACCAAAAAAAGCAATAAATCTTTATCCCACTTCAAGTAGGTGTAATTCCTCCACTGGTACTCAGGCATAGCAAAAACAGATTCATCTGGAGTTTAGGTTTTGTGACGAAGCACAATGAGGCAAGAGTGTAAATCAAGACAACCTTGATTGATATGTCCCCGAAAACTCTGGGAGGGCTGGATTCCTCTCTTGTTTATATATTCAGAAGCACCTAGCACAGTATGTAAGAGCTACCTGATAAATACATCTTAAGAGTTAATGAGGCCAGCTGAAACATAAGATTGTGGGGAGATCCCAAGCTAAAAAGAGGTCAGACACAACTTCATTCCTTCTCTTAGTGATTCAGTTATCTTGCATGTTGTCATCACTTGTTTTTCTACAAATAGATTTCGTTACATACAAGGGAGAGCACCATCTATCCCTGTTAAGTAGACTGCAGCTTGCCCCCATAGATTGTCTCCAGCTCAAAGTACATTTTAGGCACTGCCATAGTTCATTGTTCAGGTAATATACATACATGAGAAAACACCCTCAAGAGTTCCTAAATCACTAGATGATTTTTGTAAATCTCACTGGAATTAAGTTGGTATAAATCTAAAGAAGATTCTGATCAGTGAAGACAATATGGTAAGCTCTAGAGAAACTGCTAAAAAAAAAAACTCCAAAAAATATAGTGAAAAAAATCATTAAAAGAATTTAAATGTTACACTAGGAAATAGTTGCTTAATGAAAAAAAAAAGTAGAGTAAGAAGAGAAGAAAACCAAAAAAAATGACATAGAGAACAAAATTTTAAATGGCAGACAGATTTGACTATATCAATAAAAATAACTAAGTATGAATGACTTGAACAATCAGATTATATTAATAAGTAATGTCCAGCTATATGGTATCTATAGAAGCACAGTTTAGATTCAAAGACACACATAGGTTGAAATTAAAAGAATGGAAAAGGATATATCATGCAAAAAGCAACCGTAAGAAAGCTGGAGTGACTGTCTGTATTAATATCAGACAAAACAGACTTTAAGGCAAAAATGTTTAAGAGCTATAACCATTTTGCAAAACAGTCTAGCAGTTAAACACAGAATCACCATACGACCCAGCAATTCCACTGCTATGTATATACTCAAGGGAAACAGATCCACACAAAAACCTGTACAAAAATGTTTATAGCAGCATTATTCATAACTTTCTCCAAAAGGTGGAAACTATCTAAATATCTGTTAACATTTAGAATGAACAAATAAAATGAATGAATAAATAAAATGTGATATATTCATATAATGGAATATTATCCATCTATAAAAGGAAATAAAGCACTGATGTATGTTTCAATATGGATGAAACTTTAAAATATTATGCTAAGGGGAAATAAGACTGTCATTGAAGACTATATATTATGTGGTTCTATTCATGTGAAATGTATGGAATAGGTAAATCCATAGAGACAGAAAGCAGGTTGGTGGTTACCTAGAGCTGGCAGAATTGGGTGGAAATTGGAAGTGACTAGTGAGAGTTACAGTTTCTTTTTGGGGTGAGGAAAGTGTTCCTATAGTAATTGTAGTTATGGTTACACAACTCTGTGATGTGAGTACACTGAAAACCATTGAATTATTCACTTTAAATGGGTGCATTGTATGGTATGTGAATTATATCTCAATAAAGTTATTTTAAAATAAAGGTAAAAATTTTTTTAACATTTTTTATTGATTTATGAGCATTTAACAATGTTGTGTCAAAATAAAGGCAAAATTAATATAGAGGTCTGAATGGTGGTTACCTTTCGCTGAGTTACCAATTGAGAAAAGACTTAAAATATTGACACTCATTAATTATATTTTATTTTCCACTTAATTTTAATAGA